AAAAAAAAAAAAAAGAAACAGAGCCAGATGCTGCCAAATGCTGGCAGCAGAGCAGCCAGGCTTACTGCATGACCTTGAGGCCAGGTGTGGTGACTGCTTGTGGAGTGGAAAAGCGGCCATGGCTGAAGCTAGGCAGCAAKTCTCTCCTGTTGCTGGGTTCTGCTGCTTCCTTAGCAACTTTTTTTAAAACTATTTTTTCATTTTAACAYAGTCTAAAAATAGGAGGAAAATTAGGGACACACTGAAAGGTAGAGTTGAGGATTTGCTTGCAATCAAATAGCAAGTTTGGTTAGCGCAGATGTAGCAATATTCTCTAGTTTGGTACTATTTCTGCTGTTACTTCATTTTAAACTAGCCAAATTCAAGTTGTGTAAAGGGGAAATACTCTAAGCATGTAAACATGTGGTATGTATTACTATTACAGTGACCTACTGAGCCTGACACTGAGGAGAAGCTTCTCCTACTAATTGATGTGACTTAAACTCAGTTTTCTGGAATAGTAATGCAAGGACCAAGTGTTAGTTGCAATTTACTTGGGGGTCTCTTGTGTCAGCAGCAGAAAAGCTGTGATTTTTGTGTTATTTAGGAGGAAGGGAAAAGGCAGGGTGTCAAGGAAAAAAGCTTCACCTTCCTCCATGGCATCGCATGCAACATACCATCCCTGGCTCATCCTCTGTATGTGCAGAGCAAAGTACAATTGGGAATATGTTTGAGGCAGAAAAAGTAGTTAATTAAATGTCACATTCTCCACAGCAGACATCCCAGTAAGACTACATAAGGCAGAGGATCTGTGCGGCACCACAGCAGTGTTTTATGTCGCTGCTCTGGAGGCGTGTGCGCTGTTTGCTCCCACAGGGAGCACCAGCTCAGGCTGCGATTCAACCTCGGAAAGGTAGTTCAGCCAGAAGGTCTAACCTGCAGGAAACACTGCTGCATAAAGGCATCCAAACCACAATCCCCACAAGGTACCAGTGCAACAGTTCTAAAAATAAAGCTGTTTCAGTCCTCAGCAGTTATGTTACCCATAGAAGTGCACCATTCTGTGGACATTAAAAAAAAAAAAAATCAGTGTGTCCACAGAAAAGTCACAGCTCACAAAAAAATGGTTTCAGTGAAAACACATTCTCACCCTCCAGAAAAGTTTGTGGAAAATTTTCAGCTGCTCTTAATTGCACGCAGTTGTCTGTACGAGCTGGCAATTTCTTAATTTAAATCATGTTCTATTTGTTTCCTAAAAAGGACTGGATAATCGCTCCAAAGGGCTATGCAGCCAACTACTGTGATGGAGAGTGCTCTTTTCCACTCAATGCACATATGAACGCAACCAATCACGCAATTGTGCAAACTCTGGTAAGTCTCAAAGAGCTGTGGCAAAGAGCTGCATTTGTAAACAAGTTACCGTTTTATCAATTGTCTTTTGATTTCTGGAAAACAGGTTCATCTTATGAATCCTGACTACGTCCCCAAACCATGCTGTGCACCTACCAAACTGAACGCCATATCTGTTCTTTATTTTGAYGATAATTCTAATGTAATCTTGAAGAAATACAGGAATATGGTAGTAAGAGCTTGTGGATGTCACTGACAAACAGCCTTCACATGGACTCTGATTTTACCATGAACTTCCCTACTACCTTGCATACTTCCATGAACTACCTGACCTTGGAAAAATAATCTCGATGGAATGTCCTTCTTAACACCATTTTTGTGCCTTGTGAGAGGAACGAACGTGGGGCCCATACTTTGGGGTGTGAGAATACGGCTGCAGTTTTTAAAAACTGCCTGCCCCATAGCCAGGCAGCTCTGCAGAGCCGGGGCTTGCAGGGCAGCAGCCGGCCCACACACACTGTACCCAGCTGGGGTGGTCTTAATCTCACACTGCAGCTTGGCCTTACCACTTGCTTGGATATGTACTTCAGTTTCACCAAATGGGCATCCAAGCCCCAAAACCAGTGAGTGGGTGGTTTTGATGGGGAAGGCAGGAAGAGGAAGCTCGAGTAGAGAAAGCGTTATTAGTACTTCAGCCTTAGAACATACGCATTTGTGCAAGACAGTCTGCAGTGCCAAAGAAAAGTCCTGTTCTTCTCCAAGCAAGACTAAGTCTGATGCTGCAAGTGTAAGATGGTGTGGCAATATTCAGTGTTAGAAACACTAGGATCATCTTCTCACTTCACTATTTGGTGGTGAAGTAATTTCATAGACTTGGTCGTAGGCACCTTCCCTACGCTCCCCACCTGGCAGCTGCCTCATCTTCTATCACTTTGTCCAGGAAGGAAAAGGAAGGACCTTCTACAGCTTTCAGTCAGTCCCCCACATATTGGGGCTCTCTTTTTCTCTCTCTCTCTTTTTTTTTTTTAGGGGCCATTCATTCTTTAACTGGACAATTTATTTAGGGGAAGACAAAACATGAATGAAGTATTCTAGTCTTTGACCAAATTTCCTCCTTTAAAGGATACATTACAGCATAGCCACAGTTTTGGACAAGATTGTCTTGCAGAAACTAATAGCAAACTGATTGTTTTGATCAATATTAAACTTGTATTAAATGCACTTACCTCTCGTTCTTGCATCTAAAAGGCTTCTTGTAAATATAAGCTATAATTTATTGCACTTGTCACTGTATATTCATTGTGCTGTATCATTTATAGAAAGACTGCTTTTTTAAAAAGTTTTTATTTAGAAAAATCTTAGTGTAAACAATTGTACCACTTTGATTTTATACAAGAAACTCTCATGAGATTGTGCTTCACTAAAAAGTTGTTAAAAACTGATAATAAAGGCTTCCTTTAAGGCAGAAGTATATACATTGATCTAATACATCTGCCAGTACAACACTTACCTTTCATTGTGGATTTTTCACCCTTACAGTTTTAGATTGAATAGAACCAATGGCTCTTGACAAACAGTACCAGGAGTAATTTACTGATTTAAAAGTTTGTAGGTTTTTTTTTTAAATATCACTACTCCATACGATGGACAAAACTCTGTATCTTGACATATTTGTCAAATTAGCCGGTATCCATACTCATTCCATGAGTTTCTGTGCACATGAGATGGCAGAATTCAGACCTTCGTTTGCTATTGTCATTGCATTGTAACAGTATTTGCAATGGAAATTCTTTGGCTTTCAATTATATGCAACTTGGAACACCATATGCACCAAAGAATAGATCCATATTATAATCCAAGGCAACACAGGGTGCAGGGGTTTACCCTTCAAAATATATCAATAGTAATATCTTGGAAAAAGGTTAAGGCTCAAGAGGAATGGGGCACTATTTTTGACTACTATAAAACAGCGGAATGGAAATTTTAAGCATTGTACTACTTATTGTTCTCTAAGTAAGTACAGTAAAAAAGGAGCAGGTCAGCCCAAAGTCCGGATTCRGGTGAGAGTAGGAAACTCATGCCATCAGCTCTAACATCCAACCGATCAGTTAATGTTACGGGGTAGTTATAATAGAGCCTATTCGGCTCTATCTAAGTAGCCCACAGTTACTGGAGCGGGAKGGAAGCTGCCTACAACAGTCCACCCGACACACGTACGCTGGGGCATCCGTAATGCCCAGGCACGTGTTACAGTACCACGGCTTTCATCGGGGCTACACCTCCCATGCTGAGMGGATTAAAAGGAAACAACCAGCTTGTGGGCGCCTGGTATCTTCCAAAGGTGTGTGTGTTTCCAGCCTCCTGTGACTTTCCATTTCTTAACTGGCAGCTACATTAAGACAACTAAGTTTAACTACACTTGCAGAGGCAAAAAAATTAACACAGCTGCAGCTTTTACCTTTCTAGGAATGGTGGGCAGTTTGTAGGGATTACGTTTTGACCAACTCAAACCGGATGACAAAAATATTCTACTGCATCCCCAAATGTATTTTAGTCTCAAAAGAAACCATTTACACTTCATTGCAGGAACGCAGAACTGCAATAACACTCCTAATGCTGAAAACATTTTCAATTTACACAGTAAGTACTTGTTCGTTTCCCTTCACAAGCAGGGTAGGGCATGTCTTTTAACACACACACAGAGGGAAGATACCAATGTTTAATACATTCGGTTTCCCCAAAACAAACAAAAAAATTGCCCCCAAATCACTATACGCTATTTGAAAATTACCATTGACATAAATCCCTCCACTACTGTACAAGGACAGCAAGGGATGGAGCGTCCAGACCTTTATTACAACTCATCCCTAGCCTGGCGCAAAACGAAGCTGTGCAGCGCTTCCAGRTCTCTTGTTCCGTTATGTTCACTGACTTTCTTTCCACCCCGGAAAAGCAGAAGTGTAGGATAACCACGCACCTTCAAGAGACAAAAGGGAAAAAAATAAATAAATAAAAGAAACTCAGTTATCCTTCATTTGTGTTTACTCAGTTCTAAAAAGTTACCCCCTAGAAAGCCCTTTTAATGTATAAAAGCTTTTAGCGGCAAGCTGTAAGTTTWAAAAACTGGTAAATTAATGGAAAAGCACCATTTCCTCTTTTATTACTGACTGCAGACACCAGCTCCAGCATTGGCTTTAACTGTCTGTCTGCCAGTACCAAAACCCATCATTTTTTTCTTTGAAAGTTTGCTGTGGGTGCCACAAGACTGTTCTGGTGTTTTCASAGAGGGAGGGTTCTTTAATTAGGGACTTTTTCTATTTATCCTCTAATGAGAACCCCTACAGCAGGGAGYGAAACAACCCTGTGTGACCTCAGCAGCTGCTGCTCCGGACTCCCATTTTCTTGCTAAGAGAGAACACAGCTGTACAGTCACCAGGCAGCCAGCTAGACTGCATGCGAGAGCCTCCTGCATTTGGTACAGCATCATCCAGGTCATTTCAGATCTTTCACACTTACAGAAAATCTGTTGCAGACGTTACGTTCCACAGTGCAGTCTACTTTTGCTATTTTGACATCAGTCAAACCTGGAAATTGCTCCTTGGCAAGGTTCTCCCAAGTTGGAGCCAAGTTCTTACAGTGGCCACACCTAGAAACAGAGAGAGAGAGAGATTTGTTTAGCAGATAGATAATGCCTTCTAGTTTAATCTCTACTGTCTTACTGTGGTATCTGTGATTTTAACTAGCCATCTTTCCTAACACCTATGGAGTTGGGCCTCCAGCTCCCTCATGCTATTATGTCAGTAACTGAACTAAGAAAACAAGTGAGTGATTTTAAATAAGTTCAATGCTAACGTCGTCTGTGGCCTTCATTAAACGCTTCTGCTATTCTAGATATCAGTGCATTAGCATGTCACCCTAAGSAAGAATATAAAAACAAATAAAGAAGAGCATAGAGACTATTTAAATGAAAAATAAGATCACTTGGAAATGAACATGCCTTAATAGGCTACTGAATATAATACATATTAAGTTCTCCCAGCAGTGAAATAATATTAGTCTTCCAGGCAGAAGATTTTAGTTAGGTGAAAACTARAAAGCATAAACGTGTGGTGACACAATTATTTAAATAAGATTTTAGTTTCCTTCATGAATTGCTTCTAGTTCCTAACCGTTTCCTTTAGCAACATGGCATCTACTGATACTGGAAACTCAATTTTAATAGAAGCTTTTTTCAAACACAAATGCTGTTTTTAAGAAACATTTCAATATTTTAATGTACTTTTTCGCTGAAAGTTTAAATTTTCTGAGAAAAAATATTTAGAACTTCTTTTAAACTTAACCATTACAACTGTACTTTCAGTGATATCTGGAATTGAATATTGTTCATTACTCAATAATACAAAGGAAAAAAAAAATTTAGGCACCATTGTAATTTGCCTTCCATATGGAATAATTCCTGGTATATCATCCATAATATCAAAAATCCTATTTCCACTTTAACTAACTCCATATCTCTCTGCAGTAATATAAGAATTCAGTACAAAGAGTACATACATTGAAACACTAACATTAGAAGAGAAGATAGTATAGTGGCAGAAACCACAGGAATGTATTAATTTTGTCTGTATTTTGACCTTGGCTTAACCAAGTTCATAAGCCTTCGAGTAAAACTACCAAAGGATTTTGGCCTTTAAGCCTACATTGCTCAATTTATTCTAAGTGCAGCTGTTGCACCCTACCTGGGTTATTAGAACATCCCCAAAATTGCCTGAAGGCTGAATCAAGGCATTCCCAAAATAATGAAAGATGCCTCCTTTTTGTTTGTTTTTATTTTCTTAATACAGTTAAGTCTATATTTAAGTCACCTTGTTAATATACAGTGGTGTAAATGAATTTTTGATCCCATACAAAAAAACTATGAGAAAAGCATGACTTTATGATTCCTATGCAAGTTAACATTAATATTTATCTAATATTCTATCTGGAGGATAGAAGTACCAAGCAACATAACAGTGCTTGCTTATCCCAACATAAGCCACTTGGATGAGAAAAAGGTCATTTATATGCAATTCACTGTAGGTAAAATATATCATGATTTCCAGAGCTAAAACCAAGATACCAGTTACATTAATATGTGAAGTATTTTCCTACATGATAGCTTTCTGATTTTTATAGCCAGAAAGAATATACTGGTTAAGAACTTCTTTGCTACATATCAAGAACCACTGTTTCTCAGCTTGCTATTTGACACTCTGATAGTGTTTGTGAGAACCAGCAACACTCCATCCAAACCTTACAAGAGGAGGAGCTGGTTGAAGTACAGTACTGTTAAGAAGAGTTAACTAGAAAGGGATACATTTGTTTATCTCCAAGTTTTCCAGAAAGAAAAAGCAGCTTGGGTAATAAACTCCTACATCTGCAGACAAGACCTGGATTCACAAATCAAACTATAATCTTCCTGCTTTTTGCACAGGTGTAAACTGAATTTAACAAGCAATTCTACTGGGAATGCAGCATCAGAACAGACACAGAATTAATCTCAACCCTGACAAGGCACAGAAAGGATAAAAGGAGCAAAGAAAAAACAATAAACATGAAATTGGGGTGGTGATGAACTACACAGTGGTAGTAAAGGGTGTCAACAATGGAGAAAACTGCCATTACTTAGAGTACGTGAAATCAGAAATAGATACATGCCTCCTGTCAAAATTAATAAGTGATATATTCATACTCCTGGGCATATTTATATACAGGCTGCATTTGTCTACAGTGCTTTGTAATGGTGACCCTTTACCACCACAGACAAAAGATCTTTCTGTACAGTCAAAATGTGTCATTAATGGGATGGCTGGCAGATGGTGATGTTGGATGTGCTGCCTTCCACACGCACAAGGAAGCCTACAAACCTGAGAGAGAAAATCTGCACCTTCCTCTGTCTTGGAAAGGGAGTATCAAGAAAATGGGGGAAATATTTGTTCAGTGAGTTTGTAACATTGGGGTGTTGCTGGATCCCACGTTCTGCTGGATATGCAGGTAATGGTAGATAGCAAGTAGGACATAACATTCTCCTCCCCAACACTTTCCATTGGATATCTATGTCAAAGCCACCTGCATCAATCATTTCTACCCTAGGTTGCTGTAAAAACACATTATGTGGAACATAATCTTAAGAATAGCTGATAATGACTTGTGCACATTAGCTTTTGTCGKTTTTCTGAAGAGTAACAGCACACTATCCTTAGCTACAGTCTGTTACAGTTCTCAGGGCATCAAATGAGGCTTTCGTAGAGTGGGGGACCCGAAGGCCAGCACGTTCTCCGTGCTCACCCAGCACTGCCTGACAGGCTCCCCTCAGCTCTCCTCATTCGAGGTGCTGGAGCATGCTAAGCCTGCAAAAGAAGTTTCACTCACCCTGTTTCCTTACATTACCCAGAGCTTGAGGCAATAAAGCTTTTCTGACAGCTTTACCACAGAGAGGAATCCCAAGCAAGCTGACACAGACTGAACCTTTTTGCTGTAATTCTCCAATTAACTCACACTTTAGTTCCAGGCCACAAATATAGCACTACAGGGAACTCAAAATGCACAAACTTAGAAGAGCAATAATTGTGATCAGTGGAAACAAGCTTCTTACCATGGAGCATAGAATTTAATAAAAGTGACCCCTTTAGCAATGGTCTCATCGAAGTTTTTTTCAGAGAGGGAGAGCACTGTAGCCTGTTCAAAGAAAAAAAAAATATTGATGATACAAGAATAGCAACAGAACATCTCACTTCTCCCCTTCAGCTGCTTTCTTCCTTCAGAAAGATGTCTTGTCAAAAAGAAGCCACCACACTCACATGGACATCCTGAACAATTTTTACTCCTCTTGATGTCAGGAGCAATGGTATGAGAGTGAAGGGGGGACAGCAAGTTGCTTAGAGTCACATACATTGTAAAAGAGCACAACACGTAGCAGATACCATTCCTGTGCAAGACTGTTAGGGGTGGGAGAAATTCAAATTAAAACAAAACTCTTGTTTTTAAACAGATTCAAATAGAAGGTAGGAAAAAAAGAAAGGAGAAACTGACAATATTACCAACTTTTACTACAGTGAGAATGTTAGGAAAATAAGCCAAAAAAGGATTCAGAATCACAGATTAAAAGCATTGGTTTAAAGGCTTACAGTTAGTGACTGTGGCCTAATGAGATTAAATTTTTCTATTAGGATGAAGTATTATCCCCTCTAAAATATTATTTCAAATTCAAAAATTACTTTCAGATTGTTAAGAATTTAAAAGTAATTAAGCAAAAGTCATTAGTAAATACATATTCTTCTGCTATGAAATTCCTAAATGGGTAATTAAAACAGATGTTCTAACCATCATTTACAGTGTAAGATGTTAAATATGAAACCTTCAAAAATAGCGTCCCCCCCATGAGCCACAAAAAAATCTGTAGATTACAATCAGAATAACATTACATAACTACCTATCCTTTAATATCAGATAACTATTTGTACTTAGTTTCTAAGAAGAGACAGCTTACGCTATCACTTAACCTGAATCATTTTTGATTAACTTTAGTGATGTTTGGCAGAATATAACAAGTCCCTCAGGCACAGAAGTTCCTACAACTTTTCTGTGGGGGGAAATAGAAAAGAAAGCCATGTACTTGGCCTTTATGACATGAGGAATCCACAGAGAGGCCACAGAGATGAGGGAATCACTGAGACACATCTCCAGTGAGAACTCACTGCTTTTGCTGCCCATGAAACAGTCTGCATTCGCTGGCTTGCTGCTTGTTTCAAAAAAAATCACAAAAACAAAGCCAAAACAAAGCTATCTAAAGGTAAGGAACCAAAACATGGTGGCATCCAAAGCTGGGAGGTAAAGCAAAGACCTACATTTACTCCTTCACTGCGTCTAATATAATTTGATGAAAATTCCCCTGCAATTCTTTTGTGTTTGTATGTGTGTTGGTGCAACCAAGGCATAAGTGGGAATTTACAGCACATGTGGTTTATGTTAAATCTCTAGAAATAGAAAGAAGAATAACTTCTCTCTGCATTGTACTAACACAAGTATATCTTCCAAATATGAGATTAGGAAGATTATATAGTTTGAGAGGCACGAAAGCTGGAAACCTACCTAAAGTGACTTACAAAAACAATATTGTGTAAGATGAGTAACCCAACGAGTCAAAGGGGAGAGGTAACATTCTCCTATGAGAAGCTGCATAAAAAATGTACTTATGCTAATATAAGGTCATTCTACATTATGAGGCAGTGCAAAACACTGTCCATTATTTTCTGGGCAGAGGAAATGCGTTTTCCTGAATTAATAAGACTTTATGTTTAAAAGCAATTCCTCAGCAATATTCAGTCCCTGTGGCTCCTACAAGGACAACGAGAACAAACAAGCCTCTAAACCAAGGCAGTCTTCCTGCCACAAAGCACCTTACCCTGACACACTTGAAACAGCCTACAAAATTTCTGGTTGTTTGTCATTTCTGGAGGTAAACCTAGAAGTTTGGGATCTTTTTTTCCCCACTGTGCAGTCAGGGATGTGCCACCTTCCTCAGTTCAAGTCAGAATCTTGCAAGGAACGTTCATCTCCACAGCAATGAATTACGCTGTCGCGTGGATGAAGGTGCTGCTGTTCAGCAGACCCAAAAAGGTCCCATTTACGCCACTCTATCTAAACAATCAATTAAAACCATAAACAAGAGGCAGACTTTTTCTTTTATCGCTTCCACTTCTTCAGGTCATTAAAAAATACATACATCACTAAGATTTATGATCTGATTCCACTCATTAACTGCTAAAAGTAACCAGGAAAATATTTGGTAGTTTACATTTAGAAACTGTTGAGCTATCAAGATGTAAACAACACACGGAAGATGGGAACAGGCTGCTGAAACAGCTCGAACAGCCACGGAGCACAGGAGCACCTACCTCTGCCTGGGTAGGTTCTGCGGGTGGCTGTTCCTCAGGAGCCTCAGTTGGTTTAACTGCTGGTGGTTCTTTCTGGGAGCTCTGTAGTTGGGAATCCACGTACTCCTTTAAGGAATCGAAGTCCCTCTTTCCTTTGTACTGGTCACCCTGCAATTACCAAGTAGTTTGTGCAAGTGTGCATATATGGTTAATTTAGCAAATGAATAATTATCAGAAAAATGTAAGATTGATGAATGTACACATATTAATAATAAATATGATTAATTAGTCTTTAAGCTTCCCAATGGCATTCCATTAAAGCCAGCTTTTCAGAATTTGCCAAAAATTCTTCTGTACCGAAAGAAACAATCTAAAGTTTCCCTTAAATGAAAGGTCAATAATGAGTATCTAGAAGCAAAACATTTTCATTTTGGTCTTCACTTCTCAGTTTAGCCCAAATTTTCAAGGTTCTATTTGAGTGAACCTAAAAATACAGCAGAGAGTAACTGAATACCCATCACTATTTGGTGGTCTCCTCTGTTTAGCATGAGAGCTCTGTTCAGTGTCCTGGCAGGGCAGAAAGACTGACATGCGTCTCACTCGACGACACAATTATTTCTCTGGATGGAGTCAAACTCATATCACTGGTGGCCAGTGACAGGACAAGGGGCAATGGGTACAAATCGGAACACAGGCAGTTCCATCTCCAGGTGAGGAAGAACTTCTTTACTGTGAGGGTGACAGAGCCCTGGAACAGGCTGCCCAGGGAGGTTGTGGAATCTCCTTCTTTGGAGCGCTTCAAAACCCACCTGGATGCCGCCCTGTGCCCCGTGCTCTGGGTGTCCCTGCTGGAGCAGGGGGTTGGACTAGATGAGCTCTAGGTGTCCCTTCCAACCTCCACCATTCTATGATATGAAAAAAAGCTTGGAAAAACCACATCCACACAGTAATGCAATGCTCTTCTGCTGCGCAAGTTCATCTGGGAGCAAGAAAAAACAAGTGTTCGCTGTGGAGCAGAGAACTCCAACAGGATCTCTCTGTGATGGAAGTGGCACTTCCAAACTTTCCATAGCACCAAGCAAATCTTTTAGAAGCCACAATTTGCCTTGAATGCTTCCTCATATCTCAGATATTTACGTGAGTCTACAAGACAAGAAATGAGAATTCGTTTGAACAGTTTAGAGTCTCAAATCTGTTGTCTTCCATTTCCACGCTGACTCTTGCACAATTACCCTCAGCTTTCTCAGTGAGAATGATCATAAATTTCTCCAATCAAAAGAGTGAGGATCTCTTTGAAGACACTAAACATCCGCTCTGGATACAACTCAAATTTCAAGCCCATGAAGTATGAGCTACACGATACAGCCTGAAATCTCTCTGATGAGAAATAACTATTCAAAAAACAGCACAGAAACTTCCATACATCAGAATGAAGAACAGATGTGCCTCTTCAATTATTTCAACTATTCAACTATTTTTTTTTTTTTTATCTCCAAAGCTTTCTACAACTTTCCTTCTTTTGTTATTCTTATGTTATTTAAGAATATGGGCATCTTCCAAGCACTGGGTCTAAATCACAGAGTTAGCTTAATGGATATTAAGAAGCCTCTACCTGCGTGTTCATATCCATTTCAGCAGAGCAGGGTCAAGGCCTTTCCTTTCTTCCAAGGACTTCTGCTACCCTTAACCAACACAGATGGTGTGATGCCAGATTCCAATTATGACAACGGAGCGATGGAATTACAGACAACAATGCTTGATGGCTGAGGCCATCCTCCTCCTCCCTCTTCTTATTGAACAGTACAATAGTAGCTAGAGAGACTTCCAGGAATTTCTGGGTCAGATTACTGGAAAGTCATCTTTTTTTGTGGTTTTATTTTCTTTAAAATATATTGTGCCAGTCCATGAAAGAACACATGACTCTGATGGCAGTATGTCACCAAGGAATATCACACTGCCAAAAGAGAAAAGCCAGTTTGATGTCAACAGAAATATACTGCTCAGACTAATGGCAGAGATTCATCTTTATGAAACACAGCAGTGGTGATAGACTTTCTTCTTTCACTGCATTCTTGACTCAAATAACTTAAATTCAATAACTGGCAGAGTCCAAAACATTGATCTGACTTGTCACAAAAATACAAAGCTAATTTTTCCTGCATCGAGATATTACAGTTTGGCAAGATATGTTCCCATCTCTGGCTATCTGAAAAATCATTCTTGGTACAACATCTGAAGAGAACAGCTGAAAAAGCCATTGTGAAGTATCAGACTCTCTCTGTTTTTCAAACCCAATCTACATACAGATGGAAGGTTACATAAAAACACCTCCAGCTCTGGACGTGCTACCGTGTCTGACCTGAGCATTCTCAGAGCTTCAAGTTCTGTTCCCGACACGTGCCAGGCACAGAGGGTTAAACAGAAAGTCTCATATCATCCATATGAATCATGCTGGGATACAAAGAGCCAGCTTCTTCCCTGGATTGCCTGATTTTAACACATGTGCTCATGTGCTCAAGAGGGGAAAAAAGCTGCAGCATCCTACAGAGTGCCTAGAAAACTGCCCCAGGGAAGAGCCACTAAACTCAACTGAGTGGCAAACCTTAGGAGCTCTTGTGCTGTAGCCAGGCAAAACCAAATGCAAGACGAATGTGGCAAGAAAACAAAAATCCCCAATCTCAGTGTGTAAGAGCTAAAGGAAGAGTTCAGGGTTCTCTGCTTGCAGAGAACTATTTTTAAAAGTCATTTACTTTAATACATTTCAAGTATCTTAAAAATATGAAATGCTATCACTATATGAAGTGATAGTGAGGCGAAGTGATGAAGACTATCTTAATGGTCTGACCTCCTGGGAGCTTGCAGACTCACCTTTTCCCCATCCCTAAACCAGAGGAGAGTGGGATAGCCACGAACTTGGTTTTCAGAGCAGACTTCATAATGCTGGGTACAATCGACCTACATGTTGAAAAGAATTATAAATCACTTAGTGCATAAACAGACAACAAATATCATACCCTCCCTTAAATTTAAAATCTCAAAAAATACTGGAGCAGGCAATGCATGCCTTCACAAGAGGCAGCATCAAGTACCATCTTGAGAACTATTGTCTGTCTTCCAAAAAGTGGCTTGGTTGTTCAATTGGGAAGCTGTAGGCTTTTGGTTTTGAGGAGCATAGAGAGAGGGAGAGAACACAGACATGAAATGGACAGAAGGAAGTAGAAAGAGTAGCAAAAAACAATGAAGACATAGTTACATATTCCATTTAAAATAAGTGCTGGTATTCTTGGTGAATAAAATCACTACATGGACAGTAATACACAAAATGATAATAGGAAAGAACTTCAAAGTGAAGACTTACTGCCCTCCTCTCCCATTTCCCTTTTTTATTAAGCAAGTAAGACCACTTTAAAATCAGAAGACATATCAACAGTCCAAAAGTTAACTCTACTCCAAGGAAAATGCCAGTGCACAGCAATGATCAGTACTTATTTTCCATATTATAAAGTCACAGTTTATAATCTTTTTCAAAGTAAAGAGGAAAAGGTAACTGAAGCAAGCATGCCTTTGCTCGACAGGGCATTTGGATTTTCAATTTTACATAAGGAACGTTTTGCTTGAGATCACTGTAGATCGACTCCAAAGATTACACAGAATCCTGCATGTAGACAGTACTGCTACTAAGGCACTATTCCCCCAGATTACATGGAGGTCATCATTCCACCTTCTTAGAAACAGTTGTTTCCTGTTTACTTACAAGCTTACAATCTTTTTGAAGATACTTTTCAAATATTTTCATTATGTACACAGTTAACAAAATTGACTTGACTGTGGGACAAACTTTAGTGGCTTTATTAAATAGCAAACAGCAGCAACAGGAACTGGACAATGCTTGAACACGACAGACAACTGAATAAAACACAGATTTTGGAAGCTTTTTGGTTTTATTTCTCTAGATAATAGAGAATGATGGCTTCAAAGAAGATATGTAAGCTAAGCAATGACTTTATCATACAGCAAGCATTCCAGATTCTCCGAAGGTAAATCAGCACATGCAACATTTGCTATAAAATGTATCAAAGGAGCAATATCCTCTCATGTGTTTCCTCAGGGAAAAAAAAGTCTAATTTCATATCCAACCAGGTTTCAAAATGATGTATGCTCCACTCCAATGTCAAACCACTCCGACCTGCTCCATATCTCCACACTGCATCTGAGTTAAATGACTTTCAAAAAGCATTTTAAAGAAGAAAAGCAGAAAATCTAGCTCATCACGCCCAGTAAGAGCTGAAAGTGCTACGAGGGCAGGGACAGGACAGACTGCAGCCTTTTTTCTCCCTCTGCAGGGCTGACAGCTCTGCTAACTGTGACGCTGTCTACCAGCCTAGCAGAGCCCATCTGAGGCTCAAGGATGCGGAAGTTGGGCCCAGCAGGTTTTCCACTGCTGGCAAATACAGAGGGATTCACATCATTAGCCACCTGGACTTAGGTATGGGTCAGCAAATGAAGTGAGTAGCTGCAATTGCAGGACCACCTCCATACCTCTGCATAGGAGTCACTCCACGTACAAGTAACAAGCTCCCATGGTAAATACACCACAGAATCTGGTTATCATCCCTAAGGGAAATAGTAAAGGAGGACAAGATATCAGTTTTTAAGGTGGAAGACCACCTGAAACTTTTAGAAAGCTATAGGTAAAATAAAAAAAGCGAAATAACTCATTAGGCCATGTAGGTCGAAAAAGAAATCTAGTGCTGTAAAGAGCATATTAATATAAGCCACTTTCCTGCTCAAACTAAGTACTCAAGTCCATCAAGTTTTGACAARGGGGAAGCATAATAAAAAGGAAATCTCAAAATATTACTCCCATCATCCAAAGTACTTGACTTAATCCTTTACATCTCTGAAACATATGGAACTGTGTTTAACATTTCTATCAAGTCCTTGCTTAAAAAGGGGAATTTTTGTCCATTGTAACAAATTAGCTATCTCTTCGAAATAAAGTGAACTAAGTCTATTGAATATGAAAAAAAAAAAAGCTGTCTCAAAATTAAGATACGAAGTACAAAGGTGAAAGGGTTCACAAAGTGACAACCAAAACAGAACTGTTATTCGCAGAGCACAGGATGAACAGCGTGATACTTGGCTGAAATATTAATTCCCACWAAACAGATTAAGAAAAAAAGCACATCACCAACCTTGCCAATCTTGACAGCTTCTGACTGTTCAAACGCTAGAGCCAGCTGTTCCCATGTTGGAGCCAAAGCCTTACAATGACCACACCAAGGGGCAAAGAATTTGATAAAGTGATTACCTTAGAAGTCAGGGAACAAAAAAGATTAGATCCAAATTATTTGGAACCAACTTGGCTACAATAAAAAAAAAAAAAAAAAGTAATTGCGCACTGTGATTTATTTCTGAAATATTACAAATAAGAAATAAAGTGGAATAAAGGTAAGGAGAGACGATCTCAACAATTAGCTGTCCAATACCGTATGCAGTACCATGGTGTTCATGTTCCCTGGAATTCTGAATGGCTTCACAATCTCAAGCCAACAAAGGAGATACGAAATCTATCACACATTTAGCCTAAGCAGTTGCTARAATTTGTAGCTCTACCAAGTCGCTCACTTGCACAATTACACAGCAAAAAGAACCACAGAGGAGTATGTATTTRTAATAGCATTAGTCAATGTAAATATTAGACTTCAACTTAAACATTTCTAAGCAAACATCATTGCATCAAGTCTCTGAGCTCTGAGCTGTGCAAATAATTTTGTATAGCTTACAATTTCCTCTTCCGTCCTGCTCTTTGTATGTTCATGTCAACTATTCTGCAATGACTGTTGCTAGCACAGGCTCTCCTCTCAATGGAACCACAAAAATTTACTATCTCATACTAATGCTTAGTTTAAAAGTATAAACTTAATTGAAAAATGCCAGAATATGTAATTTCCTTCAATTAAGATTACTATTAATTCAAGAAGCTGCACGCTTTCGTACAAATCAATGCAAAGATCTTTTAATTAAAAGTGAACATAATTAAAACAAACAAAAAAACGTGTTTGAAGGAAATACCAGCAACTGGGGGAAAGTTCTTTTTAAAAGCAGTAACTGCARTCCTTTGAAGACTGCTCTGCAACAGATAATACAAGAATTTGTTCACAGAATTGAATTTGTTGGAGGGTTTGTTCACAGAAGAAATTCTGTGGAAAGATGCCATAAAATAGCTAGGAAATGCAATCCACAATAGTAGTGAACACTAACCTGCCTAATTTGTTTTTTAATGCTCAGTGTGTCCATGAAGGTTCGGGGAATTTATGAATAAATTTGATCTAATTCAGTGTTAAGCCACATATACAGGTAAATTCTAAGCTAGTGGGACAAAGTGCACTTGAAAATATTCCTAATTAATCGATGGTTACTTTAAGAAGTTCTAGTATTCATCTTACTTACGTCATCACATGGGCACAGGTATTAATTTAGTCTGGCTTTTGTTTTCAACAAAAAAGGACGGAGACAGTATGATCACTTGTTATTATGGTAGCCCAGAAGTTTGGCATATTTTTTTTAAAAAAGAACCCCTGTGTAAGAAAATATTCTCAGAAATGGCAGAAGTAGCTAAACTGAAGCTTGCTGTTTTGCTCACATTAAATTCAGCTATTGTTAAGGCTAAACAATATCAAATAAGTATTCAGACCAGGATGGAGTAAGAAATGGGGGGGTAGTATATTTGGCTAGAAAAGCAGCTTAGACATATGAACAATTCAATGCTTCCAAAAGACAGGAAACAAAACTTGCAAGGACACTCAAGGAGTGGCGAGAATGCCACTGGGTGAGGAGCTCACAGAAGAGGCGGGTTATTTAAGCAAGCTCACTTCAGTAATGTGTGATTAGGGGCCCTAATACCACTATTTTCTTACTGGACTACTAAGCTTTCTCACAGTATGGAATATGTAATGAAACTGGTGCTTTTTCTATAATGTATCATTTCGTYTTCTTTCAATATGCATTACTGGGAAAGAAAGTAGGAGGTACCTTTAAAACTAACATTTCTCTTGCAGACTTCTCACTACTGAATTCTCTGTAAGCAGGTTTGTCTTGTATATGAAAAAAAAATAGTTACCTTCTGCTATATGTATCTTGAAATTGTCTGCTGAGAGTTCATATAGTCCCTGCTTAGGTTCAGGTGCTTTTGGTGGTTCCACATCAGATTCTACATCCTATTGATGGAAAAAAATACGTATCTTTTTCTCATACATTGAATACACATATTGGATTCCTATATCACATAATTCTGTGGCAGTGTTATTAATCCTGTACTCTGCAACTGCAAAATCCTAAAACTATGTCCTCCTAATTTTGCCTTAAATTATCGAATGTTTCCTAACAATTACCTGAATGCAAAGTGTGACAGGCAAACAGCTATCACAGTCAAGGAAATAAGTCTGTCACTATGCTGCTGTACAGTCACAATGCACAGCAACTACTCTAACATTCAAAACTCCTAGMCTGCATAAATGTTTTCCTTCACAGCTTCATGGATTGGCCTCATCTGCCATCACATCAGTTTTGGTGGCCTTTTGGCTATTTAAGAATAGATGTTGATAAAGCTGTCTCCAGTACCCCTGCTGTGGGGAGGAGATGCCTAATGGTCCTATTCGAGACACAATGGAGGAAAAGGAACAAACACTTGATAGGTAAGTTGTAGCAAACTCATTGTGCTTTAGCTATTTACTAAATATTAACTCAGAGTTGGAAATAATTTAAAAAAAATACAAAGCACATATCTTAAAATACTTCAGCTTTAAAGATTAATTATTAAAAATTCCATATTGTGGAATTTATTTAAATATAATCAGGTTCTAACTGTGATCAACACACCTTAGGTTTATCTTGATTAGAAAAAGCCATTTTAAATTTAATTGTAGTTAAGGCTTGGCTGACCTATTTATATGCTACCCACAAACTCAATGATTTTCCTGGTGATAATGCTAAGTAAACTTACTTGTCTGATTTCCTTGTAGCCTAAAGAAGTTTAAAATAATCAGCTAATAACCGAGCTAAAGATAACTTCTTCATAATAACCCAGGGTGCCAAGACCAACATAAATACAATTTATACTATGCTATAACTAAACGAACTCTCTTACTCCGAAAATATTATAGCTGCCAGGTGTCAACTGAATGGACACACACACACAAATCTTAAAAGCTGAAAATGCTTGATTATAAACAGTATTATGAACCACAGTTTTAAATACAAGGAACAAAGAGCATGTCATAGGATGTCAGTTATAATTACTATTCTGATTCACTTGGAAATTGTCCCATACTGTTATTACTATCTGAACTTTATTCTCAGGAACAGATTTCCTCCTGGAAAGCTGAACCTAACCTACATAAATGAAAGAGCTACAAGTCTGCAGAAAGAACTATTTCCTTTTCCTATTTCCTTTTAACTTACAGCTGGTTCCTCATTTAGTTTCTCCAACATCCAGTTTTCCAATGTCTGGAAGTCTCTAGGACCTTGGTATTTCAGAGGTTCCTGTCCTGGTTTAAGTAGCTTCAGGCTAGAAGATTGAAATGTAGAAAAGAGTGAGGTAAAAATCACACACATGAAATATTCTCAATAAGTTAAAAGGCTTTACTAATTCACAGYAATTCAGGTTAAGCTACAGTAAGACCTCTCTAATTAACATAAGCATCACTCTTCCTCTCAACTTTAAGGGTCATAGCTATACCTTAAGGACCCCACCTTCAATCCCATATAAGCTTTTAAAGGGAATTCTAAAAATAAGAGAGAAATACCTTGTTAAAAAAAAAAAAATCAAAGTACTTTATTTAGTCAGTAGCACAAATAAAACAATGCCAATTCTAGTCCTGAGGTTAATTATTCTTTATGTATATGAATCCTGTTTCAGTTTGCCAAAAAATACATCAATTTTGGTTTGTTCTCCCCTCTCCACCCTCAAGGGAACAAACCCAAAACAAGTTTTTCAGGATTTCTTTTCCATGTGTCATTCCAAGATTACTCTCGAAATATAATTTTTYTTACTTAAACTGATTAAAAACACTCTGAAACAGGTGACTAGGTCAAAGAACTAAGTGATTGCTTGTAAAGATCCTAGCACTTCATGATTATAACATTTAATAATGACTATCAAAACTTTACAAAAAGTACTTAAAAGTTAATATTAAACAGTTATCGAGTTCAAATTGAAAGTATATTTGACAAAGCAACATTTACTTCTGATCTAGTCTTATTTCTTTGAAGCATATTAAAATTAGTTTTAAGTACTATCCATAGTTAGCCCTCACTTGCCCTTGCAAAGACGTGGTTTTGCTGCAACGTTTTTCCCTCTTTAAATATTTCTCCCTCTTCTTATTCCACAAGTTGAAAAAAAAGGAACATATGAGAGTGTTGCAAAACCACATAATGCAAATGTGTTCAAAAAGAAAAGAACTAAAGTYTCTACTGCTGCTTCTGTTCAATTTATTCTTTAGCATTCCTTGTGGTGACAGGGTCAAATTTTTTCAGGAAAAAGTGCAACTTTATATTAAGAAGGAAACAAAAAAAAATAGAAAATAATCTAAYACACACCTCCTGGTAATACTTTTGAAAACTATCAAGAAAAAAAAAAATCAGTGCATTAGCTTAAGAGCCATCTGTACCTTTATTTCATCCAAATTAAGGTAAGTTTTCTCTAATTCAGTGGAGGGAGTATGTTAYAGATTATAACTGTACTAACAAAAGCATGGACCAGCAAGCAGCACCCCAGATAATTTTCATTCCCAAGAAAATGGAAGAGGGATGGAGCCTTTCTCTTGACAAGTGTTCCTTACACTGCTTTTCCAAACAACACACCCTAGACTTGCAACAGCTCTTCCGTGACTCAGAAAATTGTGAAATCTCCCCAACTGGAGAAGAACAAGTTAGACTGGCTAGTTAAACTTGTTCTGATTCAGAAAGTAAGAAAATTTAAATCATGATTTCTCTTTCATCTTATTTCTATAAACAGCAGATGGCTGCCTGGTTGTTTGTACTTCTCAAGTATATGAAAAGAAACATTAGTTATCCTTGGATGTTCAAAGATCTTAGAAAGGAGGAGAAACAAAAAATCAATTACAGGYCCATTCATTTTTTCTTATTCAAAATCTGAGCTACTCTATTTTACAAAGAAATCACAATATTAACTGTTCAAGTACACAAAGATGACCAGTGTTCACTTTTGGGGATATTTAAAAAAAGACTTAAAATTTGTAATTTCTCAACATTTGTACTGGAGCTAAACCACAGAATGTCCTTAAGGGCAATTCCTACTCCAGTGAGGGCTTGGCTATCTATAATTCTCAATTTCTAACCAGTTGTACTCTGTCTCAAAGCCAGTATAGACAGGAGTACGTGTCAAATTTAGGCCTGTGCTAGAGACTGCACTAACACTAGATAAGGTCAGCACAGGGAAGAAAACAAAAAAGTACAGGCTGTGGAAGGGCTACAGAAGACACTATTATCATCTTTTTCCCCAAAAAASAAGTTATTAGCAAAGTAGTTGAAACAATCCCATTTGTTTTTTTGCAAGAAACTTTAAAGACAAGTGGAAAAAATCTTTTTGCTCCCTTTATCAGCTAGACAGGGTGTAGGTGCATCTACCCCGAAAGCACCACCCAGTTTGATGGCTAGACTATGTTCTATGGCTACTCTAGACAATGTTCTTTCTCCCCGAGCTGACACAGTAGGACATATATCCTTTATAACAGGACAGATTTAAGCTCCAAATCAATTTTTGCTCCAAATTCAAGCTCCAAATTATTTTTCGCTAGACCAGTACAAGCAAAACTATTCAGAAAAGTCTACACAGCACCACCATTATTCTAGATAATATTATTAATTTATCATTTTATGAGCATCAATAGAAGTAAAAATCCTCTCATACTTACGTTGGGTATCCTCGGACACCAAATTCAGAGCACAGTGGAATATCTACAGTACAATCCACTTTAACAACATAGACCTGTGGGGTTTCCATGTTGTTGTATTTATCTCCTAAATCATTCCAGGTTGGTTGCAGCCGCTGACAATGTCCACACCTGCAACAGAATGAACAAAATATTTCCTCATCATTGATCATTTTTAGAGGGGAATGAAACTATGGGGAAAAAAAAGTCACACATAGGAATGGTCCTAGATTTTGGCAAATTTCAAAACAGGTAAAGCAGAATTCTTCCATACTCAAGCACTCTTACATCAGGTAACAGTGAATACCACTGCAGTATTGTAATTTTGTAAAACATAAATGCTGTAACATATAAAACATAAATATTGTTAAATATTGCAAATACTTTGCATAGAAAAATTTTCAAGAAAKTTATTGCTACTGATTCATTTACAAAGCCTACCTCTTATTGAGGGATCCATGAATTTCATGAGTATAGTCACTTTAACAGTAACTCCTCAAAAGTAGAAAACTACCTTTATTCCAATGATMATTTTTCTAGTCATTACAGTACTATCCTATTGCTGTAATTATAATGAAATACTTCATTACTTAATATTTAACTTCATCTGAAGTCTCTCCAGTCAACTCCTTAACAGACCTTGAATTAGGAGGAATATCTGGGATTCTCTGGTCCCTTCCCCTAACAGGTGTGGAAATTTACAGCACAATGAACAGTGATGTTAAAGACCTGAGCATGGAAATCTATGTAAGGAAATCTCAAATAAATAATTCTCTATTTTTTAAACACAGAACACAGCCACCCTGTCCCTCTTGGCCCTGGCAACACACAAGTTCCCCATTCCCTGCCTTCTTCAGATTATACTATATCAATTTCTTCCTAAATTTAAAATATGTCAGGAAAATAACCTCATATCTCATCTAACAAGCCCACTAATAAGTAAGTCTGGGTTTTCATAAAAACTGACCATKAATTTTAAGAAAAAGCAACTATGAATTGACTGATTAATTATAAGTGCAACTCTGCATCTCTCTCTCTCTTCCACATATTGCACCAGAGCAGCTTTCATGATTTTTGAACATCAGCTGSAAGATCATGCTAATATGGAGTCAAGACATCCAGTGGTAAATTTAACATCAACTAGCCCGTAAAGTACTTTTACCATAATGCATAAAAGGTAGGTGCAGGGTATATTAAAAAGGCAAAAATAAAGACAGCAAAACCATCTAATGTCACATGGCAGCCTTTGCCCCATGTACCTACAAAGTCTTTTGTTGCAATAGTCCCAGACTAAGGTAGTGGGACTGRAGGAGCTGCCAGTCCTAGTACTGGGCATGGTGGAGACCTGAGTGAAAAGTCCTGGTGTTCCTTCCCTACACTGACTAGGATGGTGCAAACATTCATAATCCCTCCTGACAAACAAAAATCAAGATCAAAAAAGATTCACCTTTCTGAAAAACTGCCTCTTGTACACCATTAACATCATGATGCAAGGGCAAAAAGAGGTTATTCACAGACGTTTGGRGATAAGTAGCCCATTTTAACTCTGAACAACTACGTGCCAGAAGTAATTATGCCTGGACCTGCCATTCTGCCATTTTCCTGTGGCAGAATCTGTAAGGTTCCACGCTGCTTTCTCTCATACTGACAAATCAGTGTCCCTCTTGCAATATCAGCATCTCCCACCTGAAAAACTGGGTGGACTTGCTGGTCTATGAAGAGAAGACAAATGCACATGTGGACTGCTCATGTCAAAAACMTCCAGTTACTGATAAGCCCTGTGCTTAGCTCCACAACAAAGTACAACCCAAATCATTATCCAAGCCAAAAATGCCTGTACGCTCTGGGATAGTCAGATATATCTGCTTGAATGATACGGGACATACTGGTTTCCTCAGTCAAGGTAAATTCCAGTCAGRACAGTCATTCTCACACAAATGCAACAAACTCCAGAGTCCAAGTTCACTTCAGATGAGTGAACTCTATGTTGAAAAGATCTAGTGTGATCAAAATTAAGCCCTGAAACTGCTCATCTGCTCATCATCCCAACTAAGGAACCTAGGGCAAACCATTCCTCGGTAAAGGAGCGACTGTCACAATAAAAAAAAATTTCAGAGTACCTAGAGTCAATAAGAGACTACCCAGTTCATGGTTCTGTCCACAGTGGACCAAAAAATAAGGGGAACAGACCTATAACAAAAGAAATCTCAAGATCAGTTCCAGGCTGCCCCATAAAAGAGGATCATGGAACTACTTAAGACAGAACTACAAAGATGATTCAGGGACTGGAGCAACTCTCCTGCAAGAAGCAGCTGACAGAGCTGGACCTGTTTAGTCTAGRGGGAGAAAAGGCTGACAGGGGATCTTGTCAATGTGTGTCAGTGTCAACGCGTGTCAATATATCAATAAAGAAGGGTGTCGAGAGGATGAGGCCAGTCTATTTTCAGTGGTGCCCAAAAATAGGACAAGAAGCAGTAGGCACAAACTGAAAAACAGGAAGTTATGCCTACATTTAAGGAAAAACTCCTTGACTATAAGGAGCATTGGAATAGGTTGCCCAGAGAGGTTGTAGATCTGGAGATACKCAAAACCTAATTGGACACGATCCAACATGCTCTAGGTGACCATGCCTGTGCAGAGGGGGATTGCACTCGGTGATTTCCAAAGGTCCCTTCCAATCTTATTCATTCTRTGAAAACCAGCAAACAACCTGTGTTGCTCTGTTTGGAGAGAGGCCTCTCATGTTAGAATCATTTCTAACAACTGTAGCTCCTCATTCGTACTGTTGCCCTTCAAGGGGTGGTGATGAGGTCCTCAGTAACATTTCTTCARGAGTCCTGAGGCAAAGGCTTGCATTGCTTTTGTCTAACCCAACTGTGACTGTTAATGCAACACAGTGTTAGCAGCACCTACAGCAATCCCTATGAAAATCCCAAAGGAATGTTGGGTTATTTGCTGGACTTCTCCCTTGCAACTGCAGCGGCAAAGTGCTTATATCAGTGAGAAGCATTAGCAGGTTATCATTGTAGAATCATGCAGGAATGAGAAATATAACAGGCAGTCAARGCTATGACAGGGCTATCAGACTGTGGCGTGATCTCCTTGACAAGAAAACCACTGGCGAATGTAAGCACTTTTTTCAAGTCCTCAGAAGTTCCCTTCCCTTCCTTTCCATTCCCTTCCCCCTGGGCCTGAAACCTGAGGCTGCGGATGCCGGTTGGAAACTGGGTGTCTAGACCAGTAGCTCTGAAATTGTGGCAAGAGATTCAGATGAGGCTGACCAAGAGCAACATCTATGTGGACAGACCAAGAGCAACGTCTACGTGGACAGAAGCAGCAGCAAGTCTGGCAAACAAGACTCCAGTTAGGGAGYGATGTCCGGCCCTCCCAAGAGCATGAGGTGACCCAAGTCTGCAAGGTGAGAGCTCTCTTTGATGACAACTGTAATGCTGAAGCATAAGCTGGGATCAACTAGGCAATGGCCTATTCTCCCATAMGTGCGAAGGCAGGAATTTATCTGATATTAGCAAGGGCTGTGACACTGTCAATCTAAGGTTGAAGAGCCACAGACATTAAACTCTGAACAAAAGCCAAAGCAGAAGCTTTCCTGCTCTACATGCCAATTCCTGAGACTCTCAAAGCCCTCTCAAAGATCCTTCACCAGAAAACTGGACTTCTCTACTTTTCTGATCTTCAAAGGATAAAAGATGTCATCTGTTCATTTAAGCGTTTGCTTAGTGTTTTGTACTGCATTAAGAAAACTACTAAAAAGCTGACGGCAATAACTTAAAAAAATAAGTGTTTTTTTTTTAGTTTTGAAAGTAAATAGTTTTCTATTGCTTATATCAAAGATTTGCTACATTTGATACATTGACACGTATGTGGCTAAACTGCACGAGGTACCAAGAGATTACTTAAGATGGATATATGAGTTGTGCAAAGACATTGCTCCGTTAACTTTATCTAATTGTAAAAATAAATAAATAAAATAAAAAAGAATCTACTGTAGGGATTTTGTAGATCAGGAACAGATAGAAAACAAATGAGGGGAAAGGGATGGCCAAAAGAGACTATGCGCAACCSCTACGAGCACGAGGTGCTGAGCCTCGCTGCGAGCGCCGCGCTGGGACATGCCGGGCTGCTCACGGGCCGACGGCCCGAGCCGCGGCCCCGGCCTTGCGACCGCGCCCGCCCCAGGGAAGCCGGCACCAACCAAGTGCTCCGCGGGCGGCGGGAATGGCTCCGACTGCGGCGGCTCCCGCGGGCCCGGCCGCCGGCAGGAGGGCCGGGAGGGTCACCCGGCCGCGCGCCCCCGC